AATAGGGGTGGGAAGGGTGTGGAGAGAAAATGTGACGAAAAGAAGACTATGCTGACCACACGGTGTTTGATTTTGTTATAGGAGGATTTGGAGAATGGAGAAGACATAGCAACGTGTCCTAGCTGCTCTCTCATTATAAAAGTGATTTATGATAAAGTAAGGACTCTAATTACAAAACGGGGGATGGGTGTATGTAAGGCATAGCAAGGACCTTTCTATGATAAGTGCTGGAGAATGTTTTATAACAGTGTTAGGCCAAGTGCTATGTTTTTAAAACAAAAATTTAAAAAATAAATAGCCATATTGTAACTTAAAGTTTAAAAAGTTCAAACTGCTTAACTGATTTTAGCTTTGGGAAGGACAGTGTGTTATCCTACTTTGGTGAGTACCAAGTGGAGTCTTACAAGTTTGCAAGTGGCCATCTAGATGCAACAATTGGTCCTCCTCCAAAACAAAGAAAAATGAAGAAAACCAAAGACACGTTGAAACAATTAGTTCAAGGGACTAATGGACCATGTGAACCTCAGCCTGTATGACTGTGAGACCAGAACTAGATGGTGCCCAGCTATCACTGTCAATGGCTTAGAAAGGAATCAGTCTAGGAGATCTTGGGTAGAGTGGGAGAACAACGTGGAACAAAACTCAAAATCATAAAAAACAAAAAAACAGGTTAATGGTCTGATAGAGCCTGGTGAGACCCCTGAGACTATGGTGCCTAGTTATCCTTGTTTCCAGCCAAACACTAGACAAGCATATAGGGTATACATTTACACTAAGTACACTACTTAGAACAGTCAGTTATGGGAGATCAGAAGGGCAGTATTTGCACGAGGAGACAGCTCAGGGGGCAGGAATACTTAGGAAAGAAGGACATAGGGAAGAGGTAACTACAGGGAGGAAGTGAGAAGAGAGCTGTTACGTTGTGGGGATTGCAGTCAATGTCACGAAACAAAATATGAACTGCTGTATGGAAAATGAATTTGCTCTGTAAACTTCCATCCAAATCACAATAAAAATGAAAAAAAAGGATAATGTATTAAAACTGCATTTTGCTTAGTGAAAATTGATAACTTATTAAATAGAAGAAAAATAATTATAGCCCCAAAAAAATTCATTGCCATCAAATCAATTCCAACTCATCATGACTCTGTAGTACAGAGTAGAACTGCCCTATAGGGTTTCCAAGATTGTATATCTCTACAGAAGCAGACTGTCACAACTTTCTCCCGCAGAGCAGCTGATGAGTTCAAACCACTGACCTTTTGGTTAATGGCCAAGGCTTGATCACTGTACCACAAGAGCACCTCTGATTATTTGTTAAAAGTGCTGGATTGCGCTTTGTCAGCAGAACCCACCAGCCATTCCACAGGAGAAAGATGTGGGAGTCTGCTTCCATAAGGAATTACAGCCTTAGAAACCCTATGGAACTGTTCTGCTCTGTCATTACAAGCCCTCTATGAGTCAGAATCAACTTGATGGCAATGGGTTTGGTTTGGTTTCATCATTCCTCTAAGGAGCCCTACTGGCACAATGCTTACGCACTTGACTGCTAACAGAAAGTTCAGAAGTTCAAACCCACTAGCAGTTCTACAGGTGAGACCTGGTAGTCTGCACCTGTAAAGATTCAACAGCACACAACATCATTCCTCTATTTAATGTATGATTAAGAATGTTCTGAACTCCTAGACTCATTTTGAAGAGAACAACTATATAGTTGTCCTTGCCTGGTTATTACATGAAACTACCAGTTGCCATCAACTGTACTCAGACTCATGGTGACCCTTTGTGTGTCGGAGTAGAATTGTGCTCCATAGAGTTTTCAATAGCTGATTTGTGTGATTTATACATGTTATTAGCTGTTTTGAGTTGATTGCAACTCATGGCTACCCTATGTGTACAAAGTAGAACTATGTTCCTTAAGGTTTTCATGGTTGTGACCTTTCAGAGGCAGATTACCAGACCTGTCTACCAAGGCACCTCTGGATGAGCCTGAACTGACAACCTTTCAGCTAATAATTAATCGCTTACTGTGTTCACCACCCAATGTCTCCTTGATTTATACATCTCAAAAAACTCACTGCTGTCGAGTCATATCCGACTCATAGCAGCCCCTCCTTGGGTTTGCAAGGCGGTATCACTATAGAAGTAGAATGTCCAATCCTCCTTCTGAGGAATAGCTGGTGGGTTTGAACTTCCAGCCTTCTGATTAGCAGTCAGATGCCTTAGGCACTACACCACCAGAGCTCTCAATTACCCTTTTTTGAGATAAAAATTCATATTTGCTATTTTACAATATAATTTTAGTCTGAATCGGTGGCTTTTGACCACAGAAAACAAACTAAATGTTACCACTGTTGATTCCACCCCAATTTTTGTTCTGGTAAAGTAAAGAGTTTACAAAGCTTAAGGTGCTTAGAGATGGATTATAAAAGGAGTATATGGAGAAGGATACAGAACCTCATGGGAGAAGTAGGCTAATCCAAACCTTAATTTAGAAATTGAAAAATTGATTTTTTTATTCTTTGAATTAACTAATATTTATCAGGGTTCTGCTGTGCAGCAGGCAGTGTTCAAGGAATATGTTTCAGTGAACCAAACAGACAAACATTCCTACTCTTATGGAACTTTAATCTAGAGGCAGTAGGAAGGAGGGACAGATAATAAACATAACAAATTATGTGGCATGTTTAGAAAGTAAAATGTGCTTCAGAACAAAAAGAGATCTCCCTTACCCTTAAGGGAGATCAGGAGTGTTGGACTGGAAGGAGGTGTGAGTGGAGGTTGCAATTTTAAATAGAGTTATGGTGGTTGTTGTTGTCGTTATGTGCCATTGAGTCGGACCCAACTCATAGGTACCCCTCCCTCCTTGGGTTTCCAAGGCAGTATCACTACGGAAGTAGATTGCCTCATCTTCCTTCCGAGGAGTGGCTGAGAGTTATGGTAGGGCATCTTTTTTTTTTTTTTTTTTAACCTCTTCCGTTATGGTAGGTCTTCTTAATGAGAAATATATATGAGCAAAGATTTGAAGGAGGCCAGGGAGTAAGCCATACACATATGTAGTAGTTAAGGTTTTGTGTCGCTTGACTGGACAGTGATTTTGAGTGGTTTGGCAGCTGCATAAAATTATTCCCCATGAACAGGTTGTAATCACCTCCATGTTGCAATCTGCTGTGAATATCTAATCAGCTGAAGGGGAGTTGTCTTTGGGATGTGGGCTCCTTTCAGTATATATGGAGAAGCTTTGAGAAAGGTCTTTAGCTTTTTGGCACATTTGGCCAAGTCTTCATCTCAACCAGTGGCCTGCCGTGTTCCTTGCCAATCTTGGGTACATCAGCCTCTACAGCTGTGTGAGCCATTTCCCTGAGATAAGTTTCTCTCTCTGTATATAAGCTTTACTAGTTTTGCTTCTCTAGAGCCTCAAACGGGGATAAGAGAAAGGGAACATTCACTGAAGAAACCCTAAAACAGTCATATGCCTTTTTTTTTTTTTTCCTTCTCCTGGTTACACCTGGTTATACCAGTGTAACCAGAGCAGAATAAATGAGGGTAGGAGTAGTTCAGGATGGAGTTACTAGAGTGGGGCAGATCACAAAGATGTTTGTGGGCCACTTTAAAGACTGTGGCTTTTACTTGAATAATACAGCAAACCGCTGAAGAATTTTTGAATAGAGGAGTGCCATGGTCTGAATTGAGTTTTCAAAACGATGATTGTGGCTGCTGTGTTGAGAGAAAATAGACTGTGAGGGAGAAAAGATGGAAGCAGGAAAACTAGTTAGAATGTTCTTACACTTATTAAGGTAGGAAATGATGTAGCCTGGACCAGGCTTCAGGAGCTCTGGTGGCATAGTGCCTAAGGCATTTGACTGCTAAGTAGAAGGCTAGTGGTTCAAAACCACCAGCCACTCCTCAGAAGGAAGATTGGGCGATCCACTTCCGTAGTGATAACCACCTTGGAAACCCAAGGAGGGGTTGCTATGAGTCAGATCCGACTCTATGGCAGTGACTTTGGTTTGGTTTGGTTTTTGGACCAGGCTGCAACAATGGAGTTGAGAAGTGGCTGCATTCTGGATACCTTTTGAAGCCTAAACGTTTTCTTACTGATTAGAAATTGGAGTATGAGAGGAGTCAAGGATTTCAACATTGTGGTCTTAGTATTGGAAGGATGAAGGGGGAGGTGACTACAGCTTTTGGGACAGAAAACGGTCAACCAAGATTAGGAGTTTGTGGTGAACATTGTAGGTTTGAGAGGTCTGTTATCCGAGTGGAGCTTTTAAGTGGGCAATTGCATATATAAGTCTGAGTTCAAGAGAAGTCTGGAGAGAGGTCAGTTTGGGGATTGTCAGTGTATAGGTGGTATTTAGAGCCATGAGACTAGATGAGATCACCAGAGCTGTGAATGTAGATGGAGACGGACAAAAGAGAGGACCAAGCCTATACAGAATCACCACCCGAAGGAGATGAAGCAGTGTCCTAGGGGATGACTACTACATCTCAACCTCAGCACTGTTGATATTTGGGGCCAGATGACTTTCTGTTGTATTGGGCTATTTTATACATTGTAGGATATTTAACAGCATCCCTGACTTCTGCTCACTAAATACCAATAGCAATTCCCTTCATCCCGGTAATGACAGCTAAAAATGTCCCCAGACATTGTCAAATGTTCCAGAGGGGCAAAACCACCCATGATTGAGAACCACTGTGTTAGGGCAAGAAGGCTAAGGGATATTTTAGATATTTTGCTGACAGTAGACCATGAATTCCAGACAGCACAGTGGGAAAGTTCCAGGTGCTGTGCAGGAATGAGAGATGGGAAAAGAGAGGAGCTGATCCTTACAGGCATCAGATTACAAAAGTCGAGGGATAACCTAGGAGGTAGGGGTTCTGTGAGAGCTGACATCTGTATAAATGATCAGTACTTGTACTTAAATTACAAACTAGCTAACATTGCAGATTATCTGTGTAGAGAAATACGTAAAGACTTGTTCCTTTTGGAAGAATGCGTTCACTTTGGAAAGGACAGGTATTTGAATGACCAAATATTGAAGTAAAAAAGTTTTAGTTTAAGTAGCAGTTAATGCAGAGAATTAAAAGATGTGACATGCCCTTTATATGTGATTGCAGAGAAGTGGATACTCAAAGTGAAAATGGGAAGGCTTGTTTATAAAATAAGGTGCTTTGTATTGAATATGACTTTAGAATTAAAAACTGACACCCTTTAAAGATTGTAATTCTGGTGCTGCTTTTGACTGTGAACATGGATGAAGTGGCATAGCATAAAAAAAGCTAAATTTAACGAACAGCATTGATTCTTGACAAAATTGAAGTTTCATATTAAATTCATTTGTGACATGGCACCTCAGTGGTTATTGTCATTTTTTGTTCTGTCTCAGGATCAGTTTATGTGTGGAGAAACAATCCCAGCCCCTTCTACCAACAAAGAATTAGTTAAATGCTGAAGAAGGCCTCTGGAATCCAAATCTTGAACAGTTGGGAATGAGCAAGATGGAAAAAATCAAATGCAAAGTTACAGGCCTCTGCGTGGGGACATTTTGTGGCTTGCTGTTGCTTTAAGAGTGCAGATTCTTTCCATCGACAGCCATGTTCATCTTCAGTTAAAGAAGCCAGCCATGATGTGACATACCTGATTTTCATGCTTACAACTTTGAATTGCAAGTGTTTTTCATTTTTCACCTGAATTTTAAAGGAAGATAATTTGAAACCAGTACTTTCTTTCCCTTAGTTTCATCATTTTTATATCTTAAACCTAATTATTTCAGTATCTGATAACAGCATTATCTACCTCAAAGTCATTAGTATTCCTTAACAAAAAAGGATTGTGCTTTTGGCTTGGTAATTAAATTATTAAAATTCACTCTTCTTTGAAATTTGACATCACCTTTCCTGCTCTAAAAAGGGATATTAGCTTCCTTGGCAGGACTGCACTTGCAGTTCTCATACCAAGCTAGCCGCCTCAGTCCTGTCATTATTAAAGTGTTCATGTAGTGTTAAACATACCTTGTCTATTATACTTCATGCATAGAGGGCTAGGTGTGTGGTATTACCCAAACTCACTGCTGTCATGTCAATTCTGACTCACAGGGATCCTGTAGGACAGTAGAACTGCCCCTTAGGGTTCGCAAAGTTATAAATCTTTACAGAAGCAAACTGCCTCATCTTTGGTGGGTTTGAGCTGCTGACCTTTTGGTTAGCAGGCTAGTACTTTAACCATTGCACCACCAAGCTCCTATTATGAAGAAAATTTAATGAGCTCATGATTCTCCAAAGCTGAAAGTTGGTTGAATAAGAAAAGTCAAAAAGTGGAAAGATAAAGAATATAGAGTTCCCTTGTCGATATTCTATAGATTTCCTGAAAACTAGGACAAGATAAAAAGACAAGATAAACAGCCAAGGGAAGAATGAGAGGAGCAAAACATGCCAATTTAGCAAGTGAAATGCTTGAGTGATTTTGCCAGATCTGGGCAGGTAATATTTCTATGTCTTGTCTTTGCTTGTTTTTAGAAAAAACTCATGAAACCACTCCAGCTGGAGACGAATGTCAAGTCTTTGTGGCTGGTGGCAATGCTTTTCTTTTAGCATTATCATGATATTAAGTTACTACTCCTAAAAGGTAAAACACCAAACTCTTCGTTTGCTTAAGATGAGCTTGCATACAAGAGGCCTTTTCTGAATAAATATACCCATAGAGGGCACATCTAATAAATCTGTAACCTGCAGTCAAACTAGACATAAACTCTTACAGAGAAATGTTGCCCTGAAGAAAAAGAAATACATAAAGATAGGCCACCAGCCTTCCTTTGCTACAATGCTAAGTAGCAAAAATTAGAATCACATATGGATCTTTGAAAATTTCCTTTATGTATACAACTTTCTTGAATGTATAAAACACTTAAAACAAAAAATGCATTATTGTCTGGCAAGATGTTTAGGAAATGATTCTTGAAACTAGAAGGGATAATGTCTTGGCAGAATGTGAACATTCTGTAACTGATTGATAAATGTGCTGAACATACTAGAGGTTTAAATTAAAACAAGTATATAGCTTTTTTTTTTTTTTTTTAAGGAGCCCTGATAGTGTAGTGGTTAAGTCTGCTTACCATTCACTTCACTGGAAAAAGATGTGACAGTCTGCTTGTGTAAAGATTTATGCCTTGGAAACCATATGGGGTAGTTCTCTATCTTAGAGGGTCTCTTTAAGCTGGAATTCAGCTTAACATTAGTAGGTTTTTTTTTGTTTGTTTGTTTTGTTTTGGCCCTTTATTGCCTGCCAGCAGCATGGCTGTGTTTAACCATTAGGCTGAGACAAATGATCAGAAGATGTATGCTGGAAGAATGTTTGGGACATTACAGGTAGCATGCTATAGCATATTCTCTTGATGTGATGAGAAATCTCATTGCTAGGTGGGACAGTGACACCCCAAAGTAATCCACAGCTGCTCTGCAGAAGCTGTTGGAACCAGTGACTACTCAGATGACTAGCTGGTTAAGTGATAACTGACTGGAATGAGTTATAAAGAGAAACAAACTCCAATGTTGATGGTTTTGTAGGTTTGATAACATATTAGTTCCTTCTTCTGGTGTTGAATTTCAAACAAAGAGACATCCTTACTGTAGACCTATTCTGAGCATAGAATAGGAAGAAAAGTAACCCAAGTCTAAATAAATATCCCATAAGAAAAGAAGCATGAACAGCACTAGCAGTCTGTTCAGTAATAGCAGAAACAATGGGAATGATTTTGTATTCAAATCAGCTGAGTCGCTAAATTTGTGAAGTGCAAAAGAATGTATCAGGATTTAATCATTTTTTAAGCAGAAAGTGAAACCAGGGTTTTTCAGCAATGAACGAGAGTTTTGTGTGATGGTTGTGCCTTATTCAACCCAACATTTTTGGAGCACTTCACAACTGATTGGTGATTCAGGTTTCATCTCTTACTGGCTTTGTGATCCTTGCCTAGTGGGTCCCCTAGCTGTACAAGTAGGAGCCTGGATCTGTTAACTTCTAAGCTGTCAATTCTGTCTTGTTGGGCGGTATCTTCCAGGAACTGAAATGGCAGTTGAATCCTTTATAAACTCAGGCTATCTAAATCATGATTTACAATAAAAGATACTCCATTCTTCAATAACTTGATGTTGCCACACTTCACAGTTTGAAAATTATGAAGTCAACTGATGGTACATACAGTTTGGTGTACACGGCCAGAAGCATTTCTCTTGCACAAAGTGCCCTATTTTTTGTTAACTTTTTATTTATTACCAGGATAAGCTATTAGCATGCTGAATAAAGATCATTTAAATCCATTTGTTTTCATGCCTTTTTTTCTGTACTGAAATACCAGCATTTTGAATTAAAAGGTTTTAGTCTAATGATTTTATATTAGGTACAAATCTTAATTTGCTTTGGGGCATTTTAAGTAGGTTTCTGGTATAAACAGCTTTTAAATCAAGAATAACTTGCTACTATCTATAGTATAGCCACCTAGATTTGGATTCTTGGTTTTTATTATTATTTGGGGGAAAAATACAGCTTGGGTCAAGTGACAATAAAGCAAAGATACTTGACATTCTTAGGTAATTCATTTGATTGCTGGGAAAATGGCTGTATTTATGGCTGATGATTTATCAATTCTTGCAGTGATCTGAGAGCCCAGCTCTGGTCCAAGCACAATGCTGAAGACGTTGACTTTTGGACAAGTTCCTTTTTTTTCCCCATCTCTGTGTCCTGACCTGTGAAATGTAAACTGTAGTAGCGCCTCTTTCATAGGGTTGCTCTGGATGCATTCATTTGGAAAATGTCTGTGGATTGTCTACCATGTGTTCCAAAAAAAAAAAAAACTCACTGCCATCAAGTTGGATCCAACACATATCGACCCCTTGGGTTTCCAAGCCAGTATCACTACAGACCAAAAACCAAAACCAAACTCACTGCCATCGAGTTGAATCTGACTCATAGCGACCCCTCCTTGGGTTTCCGAGGCAGTATCACTACAGAAGTAGATTGCCCAACCTTCCTTCCTAGGAGTATCTGGTGGGTTTGAACCGCCAGCCTTCTGGTTAGCAGTCAAGCACTTTGGTTCTGATGTAGATAGTTTGAGAACCATGGGTCTAGAACTAGTTCTCAAACTTGGCAGCACATTAAAATCATCTGAGGATGTTTGAAAAAAAAAAAAAATACTGATGTCTGGATCTTACCCCCAGAGCATGATTCAATTGGTGTAGGGTGCAGCTTGGGCATTAAAATTTTTAAAAGCCCCCCCGTTGATTCTAATGTGCACCTAGGGCTGAGAACCACTAGACTAGAAAAGCAGAAGGGAATTCATGAACACAAAAAGGAACCCAATTTTATAAATGTCACACCTGCTTTGCACGTGGAACAATGAGTGTGGACTCAGTCAGCCACACACTGCATTCAGGCATGCAATCAGCTTTAACAAGTGACTGCGGAGTCCAGACCAGATTAATGTACCCAGACGGTAGAGCCTCATCTGGGCGGCCTCTGGGCTGTGGCCCCTATTTAACATGTTCCCAGCACACACTCTTGCTGCTAATTACACACCTTACAAAAGTGACAAGTTTCTGCAGGTGTAAGTGATTAGGATTCATTTAACTAACTACGTTTGAGGATGCCTGCCATTCCGAATCTACTTGCTACAAAACAAATTGCTCGTGATTATGTATTTGTCCAAGAAAGCAATTTACAAATTATTCCCAGTTAGGAGTTTGAAACAACATATAAAAGAAGTAAAAAGCACTACTCCCCTTGGCTCCATAAAATGCTTAAAACAGAGGGGAAATCTCCATCTCTCTTTGCACACTTGTAGAGATGCTGTTGCTGAAGAGTCCTGCATAGAACTCAGAGGTAAAACGCAACTCCCTGGGTGATACAAACACTTAAGTGATCAACTAACCAAAAGACTGGCGGTTCCAACCTACCCAGAGACGTATCAGGAGACAGGTGATCTTCCAAAAGGTCACAGCCTTTAAAATGCTGTGTAGTTCTATTCTACACACATGGAGTTGCCATGAGTTGGAATCAATTCTAAGGCAATGGGTTTAGTAGAGTTCTGAATGAATATTGGCCAAATTCATTGGTAAAATAAGTTAGCATTTCTTAAAAGGAAATTATTATTACTATTATTGATCTTCCAGACGGCTGGCGGTTCAAACCCACCAGCCACTCCTCGGAAGGAAGGTTGGGCAATCCTACTTCCGTAGTGATACTGCCTCGGAAACCCAAGGAGGGGTCGCTATGAGTCGGGGCCGACTCGACGGCAAATAACAACAACAACAACAACATTATTGATCTTCAGACTTCACTGCTGAAAGTAGGAAATAAATTTCACTAGCCAATCCTCAAGCATTGGTGCCAGTGGATAAGTTCCAGTTTGCAGGCACATGTGGAAGTAAGTTAGGCACATCCACCTGCTGGAGAGGGAGGCAC